TTTTCAGAAGGAGGTTCATAATTGCTTCTATTTCTGATGGACTATGCCAGGCCAACATTACATTGCCCTGGATTTAAGTGAATTGGGAAACATTAGTCACCTCCTACAAATGTCTGTGTGCCCCAGAAACTTTCCCATGGCCTCCAGAAGTGCTGCACTGGAAAGGGAACAAGTTCTGTACCCATTTTCAGCCAGCTCTCCTTTCACACCTGACCAGACTCATGCCACACATTGCATTTCCCTCATTAACTTGCACCTTTTCCAGGCCACTTACTGCACACAGTAACATCAATCTGAACCCAGATTTCTGCACTGAGCCCAGCCCAGGAGCAGCTTAACAGGAGCTGGGCATGGCTCAGTGGATGCAGCACCTTCCACCAGGAATGGAAATGCAGCTGCTTTTACCTGGAACATCATGGCACTGCCAACATGGCACATGTAACAGCATGGCGCTAATGAAAAAACAATGTAAACCATAAAATCCAGTTGGACACTGGAGGTTGGGTTAACAATGAGGAAAAGCCCATGGCTACAGTTGTGCAACAGGGAGAGGAATGGACAAATCTGCTCAAAGAGAACAGATTATCATGGAGACCTGTTATCCCACAGGGAAAAGGAAGAAAGGATATGAAAAATCACACTGCTCAAGTAATTTATTGATTAGACTCAGGAAGGGCTTACCAGGATAACAGCAACATCCCCTTGACCAGAAGGGCCCATACATGACTGACATTATTGTGAAGACTTGTAAAGTCACACCTAGATCAAGACCAAGGTCAGGACCAAGTCTGGGGCACACACAGAAGTGTAAAGGTTCAAACAATATTGATGTGTTAAACCTGAGAACCTCATGGCAGTAATTGGCTGAGTTGGTCTCCATACAATCAGGCACTCATTTCCTGCTTCTGCTCAGTGTCACTGATATTCCTGCTCTCAACCACACTGCTTCTGAGCCCACAATGCAAATCACAGCTAACAGAGAAATGGATGCAAAAAGGCAAAAAAAAACCTGAGTTACAATCATCTGCTTTTGACATTGCATCAAACTTTTCAGCCTCACCGCACAACTCCAAGTGATGAGCAAAGGAACAACTAGCACAGGTTGCTGCTTTCCACATGAAGTACATTTAAAATAATAAAATATTTACATAATTTTCTCTGATTACTAATGGTTTTTCAATCTCAAACTATTCTTTACTAATAACACTCTAGTTCATGGACAGAATTAATCAGAATTGAGGAGGTCACAGAATTATCTACTTCTAATTTTCACACTGTGACTCAGAAAAGAACACAAACTCTTGCAGTAACAGTCCAAGAATAATCTTAAACTTGCACTGATCTGGCAGAAGCCTGAAAGAAAGCCATAAAGGCACTTTCCTGCACTACTTGTTAGGTTAGACACACATCTAAATATAAATGTTCTTTACTTGTGCTGCACCAGGACGTAAAACACGTTTCTAGGCAAGAGCTCTCCAAGCATATCCAGAGACATAACAGCTTTCCTGTTCTGAACTGGGCTTTAAAACTTTTGGCAGTATATGAAAAATATGGAAATAATCAGAACTGTTGTATGTGACACTGGAGTACTTGGAACACATAAAACCCTCTCAAATAAAGGTATCGAATCATAGGCATTAACTGTTTATAAATCAGATCTATGCTGTACTTTCCCCCACTGCTTTATGCTCTCTTCTGCATTAAATTTAGAATTAGTAGGGCATCTTTATGATGAAATAATAAGTTTATAAGATTAGCCTTGAAAAAGTCCAGCCTAAAGTCAGATGAAAAAAATATTTCCTTGCCCTTTAAACCAATCAGCTTTGAAACTACACCCTTCAGCTCTAAAGCCTTCACCTGTGCCTCAGCCATGCTGGTCTGGCTCCATGTTCCCAACTTATGGCATGTGCCAGCTGCAGGAGTTCCAACAGAAATCAACACATTTGAAGGCAAAAAATACTCATGTCCATGTAGCCTGATCACAGGAACACATGATGCAGACTGTTCCATTCCATTCAAGAATTTGATGAAGTGGATTTGCTGGAATCAGACTACGTCCTTTAGGAAAGCCAAGAGCCTCAATTAAAATTCCTCATCCCACTCAAACCTGATCCAATGGTTAAATTCAAGCAGCTGAAATTCAGAGCTTTTTTTAAAATTCAACCATGTAATTAGAGAATTGCAAGGGGCCTGTAATTTACAGTTACGTATCCTGCTATTTAAATGCAACTTGCAATTAAATGGCTGAGTCAGCTTTGCAGCAGCACCAGAACAGGCACAGGGTCAAACAGCTCGTGTCACACTCATGAACACAAACAGCTCTTGTCACACTCATGAACACAAACAGCTCTTGTCACACTCATGAACTCAAACAGCTCGTGTCACACTCATGAACTCAAACAGCTCGTGTCACACTCATGAACACAAACAGCTCGTGTCACACTCATGAACTCAAACAGCTCGTGTCACACTCATGAACACAAACAGCTCGTGTCACACTCATGAACACAAACAGCTCGTGTCACACTCATGAACTCAGCCCTCAGGTCTTGGAATGTTGGGGGACACAAAGATAGATGATGGACTTTGGACTGGTTAACATAAGAGATTTGATAACAGAATGCCTTGGTAAAAGCAAATGGAACTTTGAACATTAGACCTGGATTGCAAGAAGAGTCAATCAAACGGGTTTACCAGAAAAAGGAAATCCCATTAACTCTGCAAGCAAGAGATGTTGTTATATGCACAGGTTTGTGTATGGATTTTAACCTGATCATTGTAGTACACATTACTGGTCTCCCTGAAATAGTATATAAGTGTTTTATTGTGTTTTATTCCTATCCCACAATAAAAGCAGATTCTGATCACCGAGTCAGTCTCCCCATCCCTCTCCATCGCCGACACTGCACTGGAGCTCAGCTCCTGCCTTGCCTTTCCAGTGCCATCCATCAGGGAAGGCAGCTCCTGTGTGCTGAGCTGGGGAGAGCCTCCATGGCCCAGCAGGCTCCAAGCAGAGCCAGCAGCTCAGGCTTGGAACGTTGCTCTGCTGCCATTCCAAACCACACATACTTGAGCAGTGACAAACGCAGTGAGGGGATAGCGGACACAGCAGCGCAGAAAACAGACAAACCCCGGGGCCTGTGGGGCTTTCTAAACCCCCAAAAGAACAATTTGGCTCCTTCTTACACAGGCACATAAAACCCACACAACAAACAAAATGTGAATGCAAGGTTGCTTACAGATGGAGGTGGCACCTCTCCCCACACCCCTTACACTATCTACATATTCTCAAGTACATTTTTTTAGCTAAAAAAAAGTTTTGATCAGACTTTTGTAGACTGGAGAACTGTGGTAACTGAGTAACCTGAGAAATGTTGGGGCTTTTTTCCCCATTTTACTTTTCTTTCATCTTGTAAAAGGTTGTTGGGTCAGAAACTTAGACTGTGTGCAGACACTAAAATCATTTCACAATACTCATCTGTGACAACTGGATTTCAAAATCTAGGGGAAGCAAAAACATGGTTCAGCTCATCTGTCTTAACCTCTTAACTGACAGTTAACAAGGCAAAGAGAAATATTTCCCAAAGGAAACACAATGCCAAAATCAGGCTGCCTGGAGATCTTCTTGCCCTCTCTCCCCCAGCTGCTGTCCAGTTTACAACTGTTGATAACACCCACTGTGTGCAGGCTTATCTCACAGAAGCATGTCAAAACATGAATTTTAAGAATATGTTTCTTCAAATTACAATAGACACCCAGCTCAACCAGAAATCCAGCTAACAGCATAGACAGGTGTGCTTCTCCCCACCTTTAGATAAATCAACCTGCACAGTCACAAAATTAAGACATGCACAAGTGAAACACTGAATTTTCTCAGGGATGCACTTTGATTTCTCAGTTCATTTTGTCCATGCAAATACACTTACTAAATTTCAATCCCTGACCTCTTGGTTTTACAAATCAGGGTAAGTCCCAAATATCTAAGACACACATGTACAAACTTCCATTTTCAGAACAAAGCTCACCTAGGGTAATTCTTCAGGCTTCCTGCACCTCCCTCACACTTCATCAGACTTATTGTTTATTGAAACCCTGATGTAGACCCTTCAGAATTCCAAGAGTGGCATAATAAAACACAGGAAATGGAAAAGCCAAATGGGAAGACAAAACAAGCAGAAAGCCCAACATTTTTCAAACATTTTTCTCCAAGCTTTCTGACACCAAAACCTGCTTAGGGCTTTCCTTCACTCCAGCACACAGCTCTCATGTACGTGCAAGAGGACTTGGCACAGTAATACAAAGCAAACTCTTGGCCACAAAGAGCACAAAGACTCTCCTCTCAGAGCAGCCCTTTCAGAAATTGGTCCTTTCCCTCTGCCACACTCACAGTCAGTGCTAATCAACATTTATTTTAAGCAAAACCATCATTACTTTGCTGAGCCCACATTACAACAGTAACAGACTACAAGAAGAAGCCAAAGCATCCGTCCTGATGTGCTGACACCTCACAGCCACAGGAGCATGGGCACAAAAGGGCACACAGCCACCCCATTTCATAACTGAGAACTTTGCACTGAATAAAAATTAAAACATAGTGGCACTGTATTGATGACAGAGCTCTCAAAATGTTTCAATAACTTTTTCTACAGCAAAATGGAAGCTGGAGGTAGAGCAGGGAGAACTTAATTTCAACTCTGTGAGGATTCAGAGGTAGAAGTTAAATTTTACTACACACAGCCTTTCTAAAAATTTTGCTTCATCTAATGGTGTAGGTGAATAATTCCTACTTTATGTTGCAGCTTTTCCAGGCAAATTTCACTCTTGTTCAAGTATCAGCAAATGCCATCAATTAAACAAAAAGCAAATGGAACGCAATGGGCTGGTAACAGCTTGTGCTAACTTTGCTTTGCCTGAGGAAAGAGAATCAGCTCAGAAGCTAAAGCAGCCATTAATACACAGTTTTGGAGTGTTACTGATGAGAAACCCCAGCTGGGGCTCACCTGGGGCCGCTCAGGGTCGTGGTGTCCCTCAGCGCCTGCGCGGTTTCCGAGGCGAAGTCCAGCGCTCCGGCCACGGGTTTGGTGACAGTGCCCACCAGCCCCTTGCCCAGGCCAGATATGAAACCACTGACCCCTCCTTCCGTCTTCACACCTTCCACTGTCGATGTTATCACACTTGTCAACCCTCCAACGATACCTGCCAAAGACAAGAGCAGCAGAGAAATCCAAAATTAGGGGCTCTAGAACTTACAGAACCTCATCCACCTGGTGCTCTCTGCTATTGCATTGGGGGGATGCCCTGATGTAGGAAGGAATGATGAGTCTGATTCCATGTTCTCAGAAGGCTAATTTATTATTTTATAATACTGTATGACATTAAAGAACACTATACTAAAGAATGCAGAAAGGATACTTACACAGTGCTAAAAAGATAATAATGAAAACTCCTGACTCTTTCCAGAGCCCTGACACAGCTTGGCCCTGATTGACCAGAGAGTGAAAACAACTCCCAGCAGAATCCAATGGAACAATCACCTGTGGGTAAACAATCTCCAAACACATTCCACATGAGCACAACACAGGAGAAGCAAATGAGATAAGAATTGTTTCCCTTTTCTCTGAGGCTTCTCAGTTTCCCAGGAGAAAAATCCTGGGCAAAGGGATTTTTCAGAAAATGTGAATGTGACACTTTGCCTACAGGGTTTATTGTGCATTTAATTTAATACACAAACTCAATGATATTAACCAATAACTTTATACTTTGTATATATAGTTTACATATGCATATGTACAGACCATATTATCCCACAGAAAAATATTTAATTAATCATTAAATATGTGTATTTAAAAGTGTTTCTATACTGGTTCATTTCCAGCTGCACTTACACCAAGAGTCCTCATCTATTGCACAGGTTAAGTGGTTACTTAGGATGTGATAAAATTCCATCACCACGAAAGCTGGTACAATTTGAGACAGAAAACAGTGTGCCTTTCTCCACTGGATGAAGTTAATTATTTTAAACTGGCACTTTAAATGTCTTTAAAGTAATTTTAAGTGACTTTAACTGTGATGCTGCTGACAGACATTTTTGTGCACATTTCCCTTCCAGAGAACTTCAATGCTCTGAGAAATCAAGCACCTCCTGAAGTTTCAAAAGACTTGGAACAGTTCACATTATGTGAGAACACACTTTGGAGATTTCACATCTCCATGACTAAAATATCAATTTCTAGTGCCCTGGCTGAAGCACTCACCTGCCCTTCCAGCAGCCCAGGGCTCCTCTGAGGTCTGCAAGGACAGACCAGGCAGATCTGAACTGCCAAACTCAGGAAGCACAAAGTATTTAAATCTCTCCTCTTGAGTAACTATAGTTTATGATTAAATCCTGTCTGTTGAAATGTAGTAATTAGCAGTTTCTTTATTTTTTAAGAAAACAGAATGGGAAGCATTTAAAAATGCCACAGATTTAGGACTAGAAGAGTCGCAGTAATTACTGGATAATACAACACAGCGAAGTGCTTTTATAATGGACTTTTCAGCAGAGATTCAGATAATTTGGATTTCCTGTGTTTCCCCCAATTTATGGCAGACTGTTCAGCACATGAGTGTGAGAGGAACCTTTCATGATTCATTTCACACCTACACAGTGTCTCTGTGTGACCAAAGCAAAAGGACTTTTCTCAGCACAGAAAAGATCCTCTTTTAGTCAAAGCCAAATCAGCTTTGCACAGGCTGCAACAGTTACATTTAACATTTAAATAACTGAGCCAAGATGATGCAAAATATAAATATTTGATTTAAACTTGGCTTGTATTGATTTAACCTTCTTCAAGAGATAAATCATGAACTAAATCGATGTGAAGTTCTGGCCAAATTAAAACTAGTTCACTACCCTTTACACAAATAAATGTCTCCAGTTCCTAGTACTCTGAAAAAACCCACAAAATAACCCAACTGGTGAAATGTAACTTTAAACTGATGTACTGATTCCAAGGAAACTCAGGTTCCTGGAACTAAAAGCAAATATAAGAAAGCTATAACCCAGCCATACTAATTTTTTTTTAATGTCTGACCCTCAAAAAAAAAAGTTTCTGTGGGTATTTCATGCCTCTACAAAGAAATGGATACTTTGGATGAACTTTCTTTGTAATTCTCATTTTAATTTGCAAAAGAAGCTTTTACTTACAGTTACATGTGGAAAACTGATTATTAAATGTAGTTTCTGTTAGTAGTATTAAATGTATTTTCTGTATACATTTAATAGTATACTTTAATTTAATACCACATTTTATAGTATTAAATGTAGTTTCTGTAGGTTCTGACCTGAAGACCAAAGAATGCCCCCACCCTGACCTGCCAGCACAAAGCTGAAAAGCAGAAATTCAAGCATAAAGCCCCTGACAGCTCCACTGCCCAGACTCCCAGCAGTAACACCCACTGCTCTCTGCAATCTGATCATGCCATTTAGGAGAGAAATGAGTTAAAATTACAGCTAAGGGTTACCATGTGCAAGTCCATGGATTCCAGCTACCAGGTGCTCTCCACTGGTTGCAGCGTGGTACCGGATGTACTCCCGCTCTGTCTGGTGCCTGTTATCCATCATCTTCCCCAAACCATCTGACAGAGTCCCAGCAAACTGCAAGAGAAGATCATTCCTGTTACTGGAAGAACAGAAGCGGTTTCTCCTCAGTAAATTCATTGCAGAAAATTCCTGGATCCTACTTGAGAAATGCACAATTATACAACTCATTTTGATACATAACAGAATCCATCCAATCCTTTTGCCAAGGAGAGAGCTCAGAATTGTATCAGCAGGTGCAACTGGAATGCTGAGGTGACAAAGAGGTAGCCCAGCTACTGTGGCCAATCCAAACCAAATCAAATCTGTGAAAGAGCAAATCTGAGAGCAAGAAAGAGCAAGTCTGTACCAAAAGCAGTGCCCATGACCCAACTGCAACCCCTCAAAACCTAAAAATAAATGTTATTTAGAGATAAAGCTTTTCCTCTGCAAAGATATGTGCAAAGCCTCAAGGTAAATATGCCTGCCATGAAACTATTTCTAAGATTTCTCAGAGCTAATTAAATTCTTTTCAGTAACTCAGGGTAGAAGTGGCTGTGTTGTAGGAGTGGGAGCCAGGCCACACTCATGCAAAATGTGGGGAGATCCCTGACAGGATTCCCAGCTGTGCTGAAGTGTTGTCCTGGTTTAAAGGACAGATATCTACCAAGGAAGGCAGGAATTGGAGAATGCAACACTTCCTTCCCTCCAAATTATTATAACTTTGAAATGACTGGACTTTCAGGAAAAGATATAGTATACTAGCATATCTTTTGCCTTTCATTATCATTTCTTAGGCAACAAATGGGAGAAAATTCCCTGAGGGAAAAAAAAATAAATCCTAACCTCCAGCAAGTGTCCACAGGTACCAAACCAAAGGCTCAGGGGAACCCTGAGTGTGTGTGGAGCATTTTGAGTCCTTACACTTACCTTGAACAGTGTGGGGGAGGACAGGAGACATGCTCATGGATTAAAGGGAACATTATGTCCAAACAGGATTTGTTCTGAGAACTCTGATCATTGCTGTGAGCAAGTCAATGAGAAAGCACCAAATAAAAATGATCTGTTGTGATCTGCTGACCTTTAGTCTCATGTAATCAGATAGAAACCAGAAGCTTGGTGGATGGAGGGAAGGAAGAAAAGGAGACAAAAAACCTGAAACCTTGCCTTGTATTCAGGATATTATTAGAGAAAAGGGCTCACAGAAGGAATTTTCCTGGAATACTCTCCAAAAATGATCCGGTTTTTGATTATGTGTAATTGGACACTTCTTGTACCACTATCAACTATCAGCACTTGTATTTCCTTTCAAGAAATGAACAGCCTTCATCCTCTCCACCCCTGTGAAGATCATTTAAAGCTTTGTTGTGTTTGACAGGGGCTGGGGAATGGAGCAGGTGCCCCAGGAATGTCAGAGGCACTCAGGTGCTGATGTCCCCTGTCCTGCTTGGCAACAGGACTGCAAAGGACCAGCCTGTGTCTCATGGACCATCCCCTCTGCACCCACAGCAAAACCCCTCCATGGCTCAGGTGCGCCCCACAGGACAACTGAGACCTGCTGGGAAACCCTGATACACTGAATATTAAAAAAGAACCAGACAAACAGTTCATTTATGGGCCCAGTGCCACAATGAAGTTCCCCTCCTTTCTCTGCTATTTCTTCTAAGGCTGTGTTTCTTTTTCACTAATGACACAATGTCCTGGTTTGAAACACTCATTTTCAGCTTAAAGACAAACCAGTCCAGTGGCTCCAATTATCTAAACAAATAGATTTTAACAACAGGGATGAAAATGAAATCCCATGACCTTTCTTGTGACTTCATCATATGGAGACTAAACAGTGATCATGGACTGAGATACTTCTGACCTTGGTATGAACTTAATGCAGATGTTATTTAAAAAAAAAAAAAATTAGCCCAGAAATACAAACTGACCTGAAGCTATCTATGAACTGTGCTTAAGGTTAGGGCTTTTTCCTAGAAAAATACTTTGCTTTTGTGGATTAGAGTAGTTGCTATAAAGACTGAAAGGCTCAACAGGTCTTCAAAATTCAAACCTCATTACAGAATCTCAAGACCTGAAAATGCTTTTTCAAGAACATGTTTTAGAAGTTACAGTAGTGCATGACTGGGCAATCAGCCTGAAGGAATAAACCAACTTATTGATGAGAACTGGTAATCTCTCTTTACAGCTTTCCCCCCACCTGCACCCACACTTTCCAGCTCCAATACCCCAGCTCTTCCTGTGAATACAATCCAGTATTTCCTCAAATATTCCTTCCTCCATTACACAGAATCTGACACCTCATTGTCAATAGTAATCCTGTTTATATGTAGACAGAATTTTAATGTAATTGTGTATTTTTCTTAGTAAGGAGGAAAAAGAAAAAAAATCCCACGCACATAGTTTAAAAGTCAAACTCCATTAGCTGTAAACCCAAAGCTAAACAGGGACATTTTTGTTTGTGTTATTTAGAAAATAGCACTAAATTATAGATGTAAGCAAAACAATTTAAGGATTTTAACGTACCAAACGTACCATGAAGTGTTTCCATTCTGCCCTGACTCAGGTGACAAAATCCGAACTCAGCACACGTTAGTAACAAAATGTAAACTTCATGGTGAATTGGTGAATTGTTGAATTACAGTTTGAAGCAGCTCCTTCTCCCCCTGCCCTGGATTGTTTCCTGGCCTCATCTAACACAGCCTGCAGCCAGACCTTTGTCAGCATCTGCTCCATGAGCAAACCAAGGGGATCCTCAGTGAGCAGTGAGAGGGTCCCTCCTCAGCCATTTCTTGCTCTCCAGTGCAGAGTTTGCCAGTTAGAGGTGAAATGCCAGAAAAGATAAAAAAAGGGGATGTTCCACAGGTATCAGGAAGGGCTGCCAGGAAATGAGGCAGCTGTGTGAGGTTTAGACTGGTATCTGAATAAAGGGTCAGACTGTGGGGTCAGAGTTACCCTGACTCCCGATCCGAGTCACCCCTACATCCATCCTCATCACCCACTACAGGTGACACCACCTGAGTGAAATAAATACCTGCTGGGGATCACAATCTGACACTGCTTTTTATCAGAAAGACTACCCTGAAATGGTTTTTGAAGTCTGTTGCAGTTAATAGGATTGTATCTACCTATACAATATGGAAATTAAAGATTTCTAACATTAAAACCCCACAACTAACAAAACACCTGCACAACACCTCCAGCTCAGTCTATCAGTGATTATATAATCACTGTATAGAGAACAAGTTCCTCAGCTGTTACCTCATGATCAGAAACCTAAGCAAGCATTAGAAATGGAGCATAAGAAATGGAATTTAAGGAGTTTAAGTCCAGCTTAAGCTCTGAAGGGAGATTTAAACAAGCTGAAGCACAAAGGCAGACTTACCTTTGCCCCCTGTGAGTTTTGCTTTTAGATGCCTCTTTTGGGGAGTGCAATATCAGCTGCTGAGGCTGAGGGTTTAAAACTTGTGAAAGAGCAGAGATGGTGCCTTATTGAGCTGTTAACCCAATCACACGGCAAACAGGCTCCAGATAAATGAAGGTGACACCAAAAGTGTGACCCACCCTTGTCTTCCTCAGCTTTTGTTAATAAGGTGTGACCTGGGAACTTCAAAGCTTACTCAGGACCATGTAAATGCCAACATAACCAAACACAACAGTCTGTGAACAAACATGAAACTAATCAAGGGACTTGTAAATATCAGCTCCCTCTTCTCTACCCTCATTTTCATGATTTCTTTGTCTACTTGCTGATGAAAAAGAAAAATAAAAATTAGTCACTTGGTGATTTATCTCTGCATTCTTCTCATTTCAGATACCTTTTGCCTTGAAACAGAACTGCAACATAATACATTAGTGGCAGCTAAGGGACGTTACCTGCTTCCAGGGCAAAATGCTCCTGATGTTTCTGGATGAAGCCAATCTGCACAAGGCACATGCAGAAATGGGTATTTTACTTGGCAACTTGGCCTCTCCAAACAGAGGGGAATAGGAGCCTTCCAGACTACTCACTAAAAGCTGTGTCATTTCATGTACTTAAAATATTTCAACTTATCATCAGGATGTATTGTTTAGTGCTTTGCCAGAAGAACCTCTCCTAACAGCCCCAGGCAGCATTTGTGCCCCTCCATTGACAGACACCCCCTGCCTCCTCTCACCCTGTCTGTCCCCAGAGCACATGGTTCTTCCTGCACACTGATCTTTTCTTCCAGATCTACACTCCAAAGACCCTTGGATCCCTGGTTTCCATCCCACACCAGTCCATGTATGATATGAAGCTACTGACTGATACACAGAGAATAACCCCCACTGCACTTCAGCCTAGCTGCTGGAACACAAACTCATCCTCCTGAGGAAGGTGAAATCTGACATTTTCCCCAAATCCCAGGACATTGTGCTACTGTGCACACTATGTTTGGATGAGCAAGCTAAACCACTCCCAGCCCTCCACAACCATTGAAGATGTTTCTGCATTTCTGCAGGCCTGGGCCATGCTGGGCTCAGCCTCCTCCTCTGCAGGCTCAGTAAATCAATGATTCATCATTTCTTGTTTTACATTTACACAGTGTCAACAATCAATACAACCATTCACCAAGATCTGCAAAAGCAGATGAAATACTATCTGTACAAGAAACTGATTTATTCGTGTTTGGGGTTACTTGGTCTTTTGTTTTTCTTTTTAAAGGCACAAAAATTAAGGAAGTTTTACCACAAAAACCTTTTACCACTGACTACATATCCCTTGCTGTTTCAAGCAATAGAAGAAAAACAAAACCACCCATATACAGTGTTTGTGAACCAAAGCTGGTGCCAAACAATTAAGGCTTATGGGGCACAAAAAGAATTCAAAGCAAATGAAAACTCGACTTTGGACTGCATGTTCCCTCTAAGCCAGATGCATGAAGCACACAGCATGGAAATAAGTTTTAAGTAATCTTTTAAAGTCTTTTTAAGCTCTTGGCAGTGCCTGGTTCTCTAAGGACATCCCAAAAGGATAAATACACAATTATGACCTGAGTCCAAACATTCCATTGTAATTCTAGCATCAGAGAACGGTACATCTACAAATATTATTG